CTAGATGCCCAGTCTGAACAAAAGATCACTCCTCCTTTTTTAAGGCCAATGGTCTTACTTAACCTTCCAAAGGTCATGGTGACCGAAATCATACAATACTGCTTTCAGTTTTGCAGTTGCACATGCGTCATAGATAACGCTAACCGGCATGTTCTTTTTTTGAAACGTTGACCCGGGGATATTTTAGGTTAGTTACTTCCCTCACTTTTAGGAAGTTCTCTGAGGATGCATAATGTGGTTTCTGTTTTCAATAAATTCAAAATGAGCATCAGAAACTACCCTGTGCAGCAAGTTTCAGAGCAATAAAACAGCTTGCTTTTTTTTAATTGGTCTGACCTTTGTACACGACACTAGGGCAATTGCGTTTGTTCATTCAGCTATGGTATTGCCTAAGAAACTATCTCAGAGATGTATGGATTCGTCAAACGCCCGTTATTGCATTAGATGGAAGGATTCTTTAAAATTGTCTTCTCTGAATCCATTACCTCAGTTTGTCCCGCCGTATGACAGCGACCTTTCAAGGTACATTTAATTTATGGTACCGAGCGATCCACTCATTTGTCTACAACTATGCAAAATTTGGCGTAGCTACGACGTGCCGTTCGGAAACCATTTCAGAAGAACCTCGGGGGAGGGTGCTCAAACTAACCGCCTTCTACCCGAGCGCGTGTTAAGATTACGAAAAATACAGTGTCACCGTAATCATTCTGTTGCTATTTGTGCTGCGTGAGCAGATGCTTCTCGAAGCATGCAAACTGAATCGATATGTGATAACAACACATGTTGTAACACTTCCTTCCCCTTTCATTGTTCCCACAACAATGTTTTCCTACGACATCAAATGCTGCATTATCTGAACTTGGAGGATTTTCGTCGGATGCCAATAACGTATGCCCCTCTTAGTTGGGAACTCGTACACAGAAGTGCTGGTACAAATTGAGGTTACTGAATGAGAAGACAGCACGGCAGTCATACGTGACTTAAATACGCTGCGTACTCACTCGTGTGTCATAGCGCTGACGAAGGGAGGTCACTTCAGGATCTAATGCCGCCTCGCGACTGCGTCAGCTCCAGCAGCCTCCGAGCCGGTTTCCCGTATTCCCTCAGGTTCAGAGGAGGGCTAAGCCGTGTGTGACCTGAGGTGCTGCTACTGGTCCGCTGATGTGCTCCGGTCCCGTGCGGTCTGAGCCGCTGTTCGGTGCTGCTGATCCGCTGACGTGCTTCGGTCCCGTGTAGTCTGAGCCGCTGTTCGGTGCTGCTGGCCTGCCGGCGACGCCCACCCCTCTGTCGGTCGCGGTGTCCCCGCCTCGGCCGGGCCGCGTGGCTCCAGGCGTGACGACGCCTAAGTCACTGGAAATGCAGGGCGGCATCGATGAGCGGACACAGACCTCAAATCGGGGTGGACAGATGGCGCCCGGGCCGCAAGACGGGTTCAGGTCAAAGGTTGTCTAGGGTCATGCGGTCGGGTCAAAGTGTTGCTCCCCATGTTGCATAGTCCCAACTCCGGTTCCCGTCCGTCGATGTCTGGTGGTCTGGCCCCCCTCGCGGCTCCGCCCCGCTCCGCTGTCGCCGACGCAGCAGCCCGCTCATGTTACATCATTGCCAGGCATGACTTCAGGCAGGGCGGGTTCACGTCGGGACGGTTGTGAGGCCACGGGCGGATCCAGAAATTATCCCCCCCCCCCCATACCACCCATACCCATCTTCCAGGGGTCTCTTAGTCTGCTCCTCCTAATCAGGAAACTTACGCCAGATTTGACCCACTTGATTTTGATTGCTCCCCCCACCCACCCGCCCACATTTAAATATATTCCTGATTTTTGGTACCCTTTTCCGAAAGCTGAAACGGCCTCAATGAACCAAAAATTTGAACGTACGTAGGGTGCCACAAAATATTGATAATTTTACATTTGAATCGGTTTTCCCCCACCGCCTATGCTTGCACTCAGTCTCAAGTGTCATACTTCATTCTGACTCCTCCTTATTGAACACAATCTACTGTTAACCCAGAACTCAAAATCGTGCAGTTTCATCCTTTAATTAATACTTATAAGAATAACAATCAATTCAGCGATGAAATAAAACCTGCACACTAAGCTGAGGTCTGAGATGTGGGGCCAAATCGGGGTCAAGTATCCGTTGGTCAAAAATTATTGGGTGCTGTACAGGATGGAGGCAGTCAATAGATGTGGCATGAGCCTGGTGTCTGCACACAAGTCTCTAGTGTTTAGCCAAAGCCACGTTTAGTCAGTGTCAAAAAAAAAACATTCAAGTCCTTCCTACAGACAGAATGCCTGGTTTTCAGCTACCATAGATTTTAAAAATACAATGGGCGGTTGGGGGTACACGTTTGTGTTATGCACGAGGGCATCGTTTCAATGAAATATGTCGAGGGGGCGGGGCTGCGCAGACAAAAATGGCTAGACCTTCCCTACCCCCCCCCCCCCCCACTAACAAAATGACCGAACATATCTCTCCCCAAATCAATCTCACGCGCTTTTTCCAAAGTGTGGTCTGGAGTCCTCCAAACGCATAGCGAGCTTCCTTCCAAGCTGTCAAGGCCTGTCAGGGATGCAGCCTGGAGGGGCAACGCGGAGGTAATGGAGGGGCAACACGGTTCAAAAAGGGCTCCTGCTGTTCCACAAGTCTCCCAAAAAAAGGATTGCTGGATTTGATCTACTGAATTTTTAGCAGTAGCGTTCATTCATTTGCTTTGTTATTGTTCTGCTACCTTAAAACGCAGAAATTGCCAGAAGATGCAGTTTGACATTACTTTAGAAGTCAATGAAATAATTTTGTTGTTGTATATGTTGGTTTGTTGTGTACAAATTACTAAACAGCTTAATGTTACTAACAACTAAAAACCGGAATACTAACAAACAAACTTTGGGAACTTTGTTCAGGAGACGTCAAGTTACGTAACATGCTAATTGCATTTGCGAGGAACATTATTAATATAAATAAGAGAGTAGTAATAGCCTTATTCCTGAGAAGAAAGATAACAGGAGAATGGAGGCATATATGCGTTAATATTTCGGCAACATGCCTTTATCGAAGCAAATAGCAGAAGTGACTTCTGTTACTCGTTTCGATAAAGGCATGTGGCCGAAAAAATCATCGCATCTATATTTCGATTGCCCTGGTTTTTCTCCGAGGAATAAGGCTATGACTACTGTCTTGAATATGAAGAGATAAATAGTAATAAAACGAAGAAAATCATACACACTCAAAATCAAGGCCGTATCCGGAGGATTTTTGGGAAGAATGAGTAGGAGAGGGTGGGGGTGGGTCTTTACCATCACCATTTTACCATTTTTGTCAACGCTGTGCCCACTCCCCTTAACTAAAACTGGCTGCGCCGCTGCACCGGCTGCTGAGGCGGCATTCTCGCCTCATGGTGGACAGCAAATGTCTGGTCCTACTCATTCAACAGCCACATTCACCAGCCAAACACCACGGGTCGTACCAAACACGACTCACCGATGTGTACCAAGTCTACTGAAGCAGTCCGTCCCTCGTCTGATCTCTGCCGTTTTCACTCTCACAGCGTGCTATCCTGACAGAGCGCCTGCTTGCTCGCGACCTCTCGTGGCCGCGCCGCGGGGCACCCGGCGTCAGATGACCTTCCGGAGCGTGTGGCACCCGGCATCAGATGACCTTCCGGGGCGTGTGGCAGCCGGCGGGGCGGTCCGACTTCAGCGAATCGCAACTGTTTGTGCAACTCAGCCGACCATTCACCGTACGGCTACATTTAAACTGCAGAGAATTCGCACCAGAGGGTTCTCGCGGGATATACTATACATATCGAGTTCAGTCCTTCTGCTGACCCACAGAGAGCGGAGAAGGTAACAAGCGCAAGGTAAGGTTCAGGTATGGCTTTGTTTCATTCACAGCTGCTGGTTCGACAGTTTAAACTGCTGTTGTACCGCCTTCATCAGCGCGGGTAAGAATTGCGACTGCCTCTCAGGCAGGCTCAAACGCTTGTCAGGTTTATTCAAACCTTTCCATCATGGCCGCAGTCTGCCCATAATTTCGCGAATGAAGCGCATCGTCTGCAATATTATGTCTAAAGCCCACGGCTGGC